TACCACTTGAGCCACAGCGCCACTTCCGGCTTTTTTCTTTTTGCTTATGTGGTGCTGAGGAATCGAACCCAGGGCCTCGAGCATGCAAGGCAAATGCTCTACCACTGAGCCACCTTCCCAGCCCTCTCAGTAACTCTTAACTATGTTGAGATAAATTGTTTAATGACCTGATAATAGTGGTTCAATGTGAGAACCCAATGTTACTTAGTATAGTTCAGATTGTTAAAAGTATCGTGATTAATGGGCATGTGTTTAGAACCAGAAAATATATGTTGGCTAACATAACTTGAAACACAAGGACAAGAGCCTATGAATATAACTATGTTTATTTGCTTTATGGAAAAGAGGTGATACCTATTGAGGATTTCCCTCCGTTTTGAGTTTTTGATATTTTTAAATATTTTCCTGTTTTCTAAATTTATCTAGTTTTTTTGAGTAAAAGTAGAGATTTTTTTCCCTAGAAGATTTGCCTACACAGGAAAAATTAGAATTCGTTATTGGACTCGACTTTCTTTTGGTGTTGTGTTTGCAGGGACCTTATACCTTTATTTTTGGCAGAAACACTTGAGTTTTGTTGTTTGTTTTTTTTAACACCATCTTAGAAATGAGTCTTTTACTCAGTTTGAATTTGACTTGAAGTTTTGCACAAAAACCAATTTGTTCATAAATATTTTGTTTACTGCTTATCAGCACTATTGCTGTAGTAAATAAGGTAACAGAATAAAAACCCTATCTTCATGGAGCTTACATTCTTGTAAACATTTATGTTTGCTTGTTATGGTTGAGCTCTATGACAGATACATTGTCTAGATAAATTCCATTACTTCTAAATACAAGTTTTGTGATAGTTTTTCATCTTGAAGGCTTGCCAGAATCTTAAGAGAATTGCTGACTGGTGTTTATATTTGTAATCCTAGCACTCTGGAGTGTCGAGGCAGAAGGAATTCCAGGTCAGCCTAGAGCTACATATGCTGTCGGAAAAAAAACAAAAACAGAACGAATGGTATTAAATAGATTAATTTGTAGGCCCAAAGTTAGAGTGATAAAATGACATGGTGAACAAAATATTGATGGCTTTAAGTACAAGTCCCTTTAAGTAAAGTCCCTTTAAGTAAAAGGGACTAATGTATTTATTCATTTAAACTTTCACTCTAAAAATTCTACTATGCAAGCCTGATGCTGGTAGTTTACCCCTATAATCCTAACTGCTTTGGAAGCTGAGATCTGAGGATCATAATTCAAAGCGAGCCATGGTTAGTTAGCCTTGAGCAAAATAGCTCAGGGACAGTGTCCAGGTCCTGAGTTCAAGCCCCAGGACTGGCCCCCCCCAAAAAAAAAAGTCTCACAGACTTTACTGTCCCAGCTGGCTTTGAACTGTGATCCACAGATCTCAGCCTCTTGAGTAACCAGGATTATAGGTGTAAGCTACCCACTAGCACTCCAGCTTTTTTTGTTTTTTTTTCTCCTTTCTTTCTTTTGCTGGTCTTCACAAAGGATAATTTTAAATGAGACTTTTAGAATATAGACTGAAATAATAAGTGGTGACTGGCTTTGCCTTTCCTGAGCCAAGAAAAACAGCATTTTATATCACATGGCTCTTAAGTGTCTAGGCTTTTATGGCCAGTAGTTAAGTTGGAATTCCAATATTTGAGAACTAGAGTAATAGCTGAGATTAGAATAATATAATCTTTTGTTGCATCCATTTAATGTATATAAACATACAGTGTATACTGGTTTATATTTGTGTTGTGTTTGTGTGCACAAATACTTTTATGGGTTTTTTTTTTGGTGGGGGAGCGGGAGGCCAGGGGACGCTTATCTGTTTTGATCCTGGGGATTGGTAGGCAAGGGCTGTACTACTTGAATTACGTCCACAGTTCCTCTGGTTTTTAGTTTGTTTTTGGATAGGATCTTGTCTTAACTTTACCCAGGCTACCTAGCTTGCCTGCTTTTATATAATAACAGAAAGGTAGAAGAAAAGATGAACAAACACAAATGTGCTACTTACTAGACATTTTATGGGAAATGAACTGTATGACTTGTGGGTGGGATGGGAGGGAAAAACTAGGAGAGAATGAGGGAAGGGGAGACATCAAAGACTGAGTGTGTTACTGCATCCTTTACAACCAATGATAACATCATAACTTTTTTTTTTGTCGGTCATGGGACTTGAACTCTGGGCTTGGATGCTGTCCCTCAACTCTTCAGCTCAAGGCAAGGGCTCAATCACTTGAACCACACAGTGCCACTTCTGGTTTTCTGGTGGTTTATTGGAGATAAGAGTTTCATGGACTTTCCTGCCTGGGCTGGCTTTGAACCATGATCCTCAGATCTCAGCCTCCTGAGTAGCTAGGATTACAGGCATGAGCCACCAGCACCCAGCTAACATCATAACTTTTAATTCGGATTATGATGGCCTTCTACCCACTGGCAACTCTTTCGTATCAACAACTTAACATGTATGCTAACATTTGTTCAAGGGATAGTGATATTGACATAATCAACAACATCTTTGGGAGAAAAGATGGAAGTATATAAGGTAGGGCCTCCTCATTTCAATTTAGAGAGCATACATTTGGGTCTTCTTTATACTAGAGCTAAGTAGAACTCTTAAGCAGAGAACATTTCTTGAAAGCCTGTTTGGTTTTGGTTTGGTTTGGGTTTTGGTTTTGGTTGGTCATGGGGCCTGAACTCTGGGCCTGGGCACTGTGCCTCAGCTCTTCAGCTCTACAACTTGAGCCACACCATTTCCAGCTTCTTCTGCTTATGTGATGCTGAGGAATCAAACCCAGGGCCTCATGCATGCAAGACAAGCACTTTATCACTGAGCCACTTTCCCAGCCCTGAATGCACTGTTTTTGAGAAAGTAGTAGATAGCCACCTTTTGCAAATAGTTTTTATTTTGCAATGATAATTTACAACGTCTGGTCTCTCTTATGCTTGTGAATGAGGGAGGAAAACATTTTGAAGCAAAAATTCCATTGAGCCATGACATTTTATTATAGTTGTTTTTATGAGAAAACCAAATATTGTCTGTTGGTGTACTTTTGTAATAAGTTGGATTTCAAGTATCCTATGCTTTTGTGGGCACATTCTATTTGTTCATCTGTTTATTTACTTATTTATGCATGATGGTCCTGGGGTTTGAACTCTGGGCCTGGGCTCCCTGTCCCTGAGTTTTCTTTTGCTCAAGGCTAGTACTTTACCACTTCAGCCACAGCGCCACTTGCGGCCTTTTCTGTGTATGTGATACTGAGGAATCAAATCCAGGGCTTCAAGTATGCTAGGCAAGCACTCTGTCACTTAAGCCACATTCCCAGCTCTAGAACATGGCTTCTTAAAAAAGAAAAAGCTTGGTACCAACTTCTTGAAGAAATTTTCGGTTGTTTTAATAATATTGGAGTTTGAACTCAGGGCCTCATAGTTGTTAGGATTTCTAGTGTTTAGCCGTATCTCCAGTAGTATGGTGATTCACTCTGGTGGGCTTAGTTTGTGAACCTAGACTGATAGGGGAATGCTACAGCACCCATCTTTTTCCAAATGTTAATGTTTCATATTGGTTAGTGGCCTTTCTCTTAATTTTAAGTCTTCATTTCATCTTGCACATAGGCTACTTTTAATAGCATCTTATTCAAGAGTTGGCTTTTTGCTTGATTTCAAGTAAAAAAAAATACTCTTTCTCTTTTTCTTTTCCTTTTTTTTTTATCACTCTTGGAGGTTGAACTCAGGGCCTGGGCATTGTCTTTGAGATTCTTCACTCAAGGCTAGCGCTCTACCACTTTGAAGCACAGCACCACTTCTAGGTTTATTTTTCTTTAAGCTGAAAATTTTCCATTTTTCCTTTCATCTTTTTGCATCTCATTTCCTAAAGAGTATCAAGTAAGGTGTAAAATACACTGCCTTAATCCCCTCCCCTCCCATCAGGTTACTGAATAGATGCTAGACCTGGGAAGATATAGTTTGATAATTCTAACACAAAATTTCCATTAATAACTTTAATATTATTTCCTGAAAGAAATTTAAGTTTGAAATTACCAAGTGGGAATTTACTCTGGAGTACAAGTTTTTATTTTCTAATTACATGGAATGTTCATCTGTCTCATCCGTTTTGTTTGCTCAAATACAATTGGTTAAGTTATCATTTATAATAGTAACAAATTCAGTTTACTAATCCTTCAGCATATTTCTGATCAAGTTAGCTAGAAAATCTCCACTGCTCTTGTTTATCCAGTAGGGTCTAGTTGCTAATATAAAATACCATAATCTGGGCTGGGAAGGTGATTCAGTGGTAGAGAGCTTGCCTTGCATGAATGAGGCCCTGGGTTCGATTCCTCAGCACAACATAAGCAGGGGAAAAAAGCCGGAAGTGGTGCTGTGGCTCAAGTGGTAGAACGCCAGCCTTGAGCTGAAGAGCTGAGGGACAGCTCCCAGGCCCAGAGTTCAGGCCCACGACCTGACCCCTCCCCCCCCCCAAAAAAAGCTAAAATACCATAATCTGGTAAGAATAAAAATCTGAGCCTTCAGATGAGACAAAAATTTAGATCTGAGTCTTTTGTCTTGCTAATTATTCTGTTTCTGCTAGTAAATCTTTGGGAAAAGCAGCTGCTAGAGATGAGTTTGTTTCTGAGCCATTAGGTAAGGGCCTTTGGTAAACCAACCCATTGCTCTCAGTACATTCCCAATTATAATTTCTAAGTTAAATATGTATTTTTGGTGGCTGGGAATTCGGCTTAGTGGTAGAGTACTTGCCTTGAGCAAAAGCTCAGTGACAGTGCCTAGGCCCTGAGTTCAAGCTCCAGGACTGGCCAAAATAAATAAATAAAAACTAAAACTAAATAAATAATACATTTTTTTATGTACTACTCATGCTATTCCCTGTTCTATTCTACAGGGGTTGATAGTTCTTGGAGAGGCACCTCCCCCAGAACATACAACAGACTTGCTTCTTCCTCTTAGTTCAGAGTTGAAGACAGATCATGGGACTGATAAACTGGTAAGTATAAGAGATAAAAAGGGAAATAAATGTGCATTCAGAGTGTAGGTTTTGTCACACAGTTTACCTATCCCCTGTGTTTAGAATCTTTACATTAGCTGAAGGGAGGGAGATATATCCCTTTTATTGCTGTTGACATTTCAGTCTAAATGAATGAATAAGCCAGTATCAGTGCCTCTCATATAGTATGTGTATGTGCGCTTGTGTGTGTGCAAGCGCACATGCATGTATGCATGTGTGTGAGAGACACACATGTACACACCCCTGGGTGCTTCTTACTTTATAGTAAAGATAAAGCTATCATGCTCTACAGCATTCTATATCTTTAGAACCTACCACAAATCTGTCTCTTTTGCTGATTCTTTAGTTTGCCCTATTTTGGGAGAACCATAATTTCTTTCTGAATTCTAAAACCATTCATTTATTTCACTATTTTTTTTTTAGAAGTATCATAGGGACTAGTGGTATGGGTCAAGTGGTAGAGTAATACCTAGCATATACAGGGGCCTGAGTTCAAACCCCATTACTACCAAAAACCAATCAATTAATATACAGTCTTGTGACAGTATTGTTTCTACAAAAAAAAAAGAGAGAGAAAAAGAAGCTGGGACAGGTGGCCAACACCAGTTAGCCTACTCAGAAGGCTGAGATTTGAAGATTGTAGTCCAAAGCCAGCCCAGGCAGGAAAATCCATGAGACTCTTAGTGCTAAGTGATCACTGTAAGTCTGGAAGTGGAGCTGTGACTCAAGTGGTAGAGTGCTGTCCTTGAGCAAAAAAGCTCAGGGACAGTGCCTATATTCTGAGTTCAAGCTATAGGACTAGCACAAAATAAAGGAAGGCATTATGGTTTTTAGAAATAGTGATGTGGAAGGTTTTTTTATGTTGATTTATTTTTGTAATTTCATTTCTGAAACTCCTTGGAATTAACAACAGAAGTATTTTTAGAAATGACAAAGTCCAGTGAAACATAATAACCCAAGAATTGCATAAAAAAGAAATAAAAAGGATGGCAAAAATGTTGATTTTTTTTTTTATATGGCGTTATTGAAAAGAGAGTACAGAATCACATTATTTACCAACGTACAAAAACTTAACATTATAGTTATAACCTCTTGTATGGTATTATGTCTTCTTCAACAAGGCACAAAATTATCAGTGTTCTAAAATAAGACATCCAGTTTAAATAACAGGTAAAATAGTTAAGTAGTTTATGGATAGTTACCTGACTGAGGTGGGCTCATTTGATAATGTTTATTATTAAGTTGAAAGGATACATAATCTGCCTCATTTCCAAATTGAGTAATTGCTTTCTTGAACAAAACAAACATGCACCTAGGCCTTGAATACACAGTACAGATATATTAATTACACAAAAATGTTTTCAAAGGTTCCAACCTGTGATCAGAAGCAAATGAGCATTTTTTTTTAAAAAAATATTTTTGCCAGTCCTAGGACTTGAACTCAGAGCCTGGGCTCTGTCTCTGAGCTTCTTTTGCTCAAGGTAAGCACTCTTCCACTTGAGCTACAGTGTCACTTCCATCCTTTTCTGTATATGGGTACTGAGGAATCAAACCCAGGGATTCTTGCATGCTAGTAGGCAAGCACTCTACCACTAAGCCACATTCCCAGCCCTAATGAGCATTTATTTGAGCCAGGAAGTATTCCCTGGAATGGGGAGGTGTGCTCCAGTTTCCCTGTGTAGTGTTTTTTCTTCTGTGTTTTTCTTACTGAAGCAGGGATTCACTATGTAGTCCAGGCTTGCTTGGAATTCGCAATCTTCCTACCTCAGTTTCCTACAAGTAGAAGGATTCTGTTTTTTTACTACAGAGTAGTGGGGCAGAGAAAAGTAAGATGTAAGGAAAATGTTTTTTCCCCATTTTGGGAAGAATTCAGACTAACTTGTCAAACAAAGGCAGTTTGGAAGTCTCCTTGGAAGAAAGAAAGTAAAGGGCCCTACTAGCTCTATTGCTGCAATAGTCTTCTTAGGTACAAATAAATGGTTTGAAATAAGACTGTTTCTGAACAAAAGGGTATGCCTTTGAAAAGAGAATATAAAAGCTGCTAGTAGTTTTTCTCTAATGTTCCTAAACATCCCCTTTATCTTTACCTCTTCCCTCTTCTATCTTTCAAATAAACAGCAGTCCATTTTCACATATTTAAAAAATAATAATGACCAAAGAAGAGCTAACATGGGGGCTAGGAAGGTGGCTCAGTAGTAGAGTGCTTGCCTTGGATGCCTGAGGCCCTGGGTTCAATTCCTCAGCACCACATAAGCAAAAAGAAAAAAAAAGCCAGAAGTGGCGCTGTGGCTCAAGTGGTAGAGCGCTAGCCTT